TTTGTTAGAGCATGTACGCCAAACAACACTTGCTTTTTGTGAAACAAACCCTTCCATTGAATGCCACTAAAAAAAAAAAAAAATGATGCTCCCACTAAACTCTTACCAGCTTTTAAAGTTGTAAATACAGCTCCACTGTTACCAACAACTGGTACTGCATAAGGCTTTGTGTTATCCAGCTACTTCTGTAAGAACAGTTTTCCTGTGTGCAGTGTAGTCCCGAAAAAAAATGATGAATTTAAATGAACTGGTACTACACTTATTTCACAATATATGTAAGTCCTAAATAATCCATATCACAGGATCTATTTCTGCACTTCAATAACTGAGGTAGAAACCAACTTACCCTATGTTTTTCCTTCACTTTCTTCCTGTATTCTTCTTTGTCAAATTTGTCTTCTTCCCGGAGTATCTCTTTCGCTTTGTCTAAGTTGATACCACTGGCATCATCTTCCTCATCTGCTTTAGCCAAACTGGATTTTTGCACAGGTGGCCACTGCTGCACTAACTGAATTATAGATGTCAACAACAAAAACAATGGTTAGAACATTTTTTCCACATCAAAGTTTTGATACCCTAAATATTCCAATACGCTGTTTTCCTAGACTCAATGAAAAGGCCATTTGCAAAGGAGACAAACAAAACTTTTGCACCACCCAAACTCAGCTACCTTATTTAACATCACATTCAGTCAAAAATGAGTATTTGAAAATAATGACTTCATTACACCATAATACTGTTTAATGGATTCACTTTAACTTCTTCCCCTATTTTTCTGTCTTTGCCTGATGGAACAAATAATTCATAATTCTGCTAGTCCCTTTGGGAGAAAAATTATATTTGCTTTCAAGAAATGACTCTCCCAAAATACATACAAGAGAACAACACATTAGTAAATCTAAATAGCATGTTTTCATGTAAACAACCAATATTCCAACATATCACCTGTGACAAAAATGGCCTTCATCACACAGTACATGAAAAACATGACTGTAGGTTCATGTTTTGGGGGAAGCAACAACAGATGTGGAGGGTTTTATTGATTGTAGTAAAAAAACTGGATTGGAAATGTTTGATGATTCAAGTTTCACTTGTGGATAACATGCTGAACCCATCCAGCTTCCTTCAAGTATGTGAAACTCTCAAGTGAAGACAAAGACTACATATTCACTAAAAAATATCCCCACCTATCTTGTGATCTAACAGCTTACACTTCGTGGCATGAGCAGACATCATCTAGGGGTAGGCTAACTCTTAAAAAGAAAGTATATGGCAGAAAATATAGAATGTCTTTCAGATACAAATGCCAAACCAAACACGTCTAGGACTCCCTAATGCACACAGGGTGTTCTTCACCTGGATAATGCTAAACCCATCCTACTGTTTCCACTTCCTTTCAGAAAATGGAGTTTGCGTACTTGTATTTTCTAGAAAGATACTTTTCTTAAAGGAGTTTCATTTTATCAAAGAGAAGCATGTGGAGTAGAACAGTAAAACTTTAAAGCACAGTTTACACAGCTCAGATAAAAAGCAGGAACAACATCCATAGATGCAAACTTTACATTTTCTCAAGTAAGTCACCCCTTCTCTATTGTGCTACTCTTCTAACTATAATCTTTGTGCTGATTTTTTTTTCTCCATTCTTACTCCCTTTTGCTTTATTGCATAGATACATAAATCATTTGCTTCGGTGTTTTAAGATGAGACAACAGCTTTTGAATATCTAAAAATATCTGAAGATATAATTTCCGGTCAATGGGGCAATCTCTAAAACCTTTCAAATTTTGTCTGATGTCAGTAATTGTATGGCTGTACTCCCTTCACACTGCAATATAAAATGCTTTATTTTATTCGGTCACAAAAGCAAATTATATTCTTGTAAAGGTGACCTCTCCTTCACTTTATGCGTTATTGAAATTAACCTTAATGCTGGAAATGGAAAAACAATGTAGACAGCATCTGAAGCTGTGAAATCAAATGTTAGAAAAATTTATGGAGCATGGAGACTTGCTAGTGAGGTTATCACCACAATGAAACCCTAGAGTGACTAGCATTCACAACAGTTCCTTTTGGTATAACATCAATACACTTTTCCAGGGGCTATTAAAAGAGCCAATTAAATTACTGGCAAATTTCAAGGAACTACTACATCAGCACCAGCAGACGACAATTTGGTACTTCCTTAGCTTTCCTAACAAAACTGTTAATCTAGAAATAGTGAATGCTGGAAAGAAAAGCAGGGACTTCTTTTAATTCCAGTACTCCAGCTCCAGACTTGGGGAAACTTTTGCAAATACCTACAGGAAAATTCTTTTACATTTCTGTAAAGAAAAAATTGGCTCTTGATTCCACCTGAAATTGAAGATCATAGGCAGAAAAGAGGTAACAGTTCTGTACAACCACTAACAGCTCTCAAACAAGCATCTTGCACACAGGTGAAGAGAGGTCAGTGCTCAGCATTCCTAAATGGAAGCTGAATAGTTTTGCAAAACTTAAACCAATTACACAGAATCGCACACTTTTGAAAAGCATATCATTTTATAAAGATATAGAGTATAAGTATTTTTGCCTTTACAGAAACTACAAATTCAGTTCCCACCAAAATAGTGTTATTTTGAACTGATCTTACCTCTCCATCTTCAGTAAAGATTATTTTTGTGTTGACTTTAAATTTCTTCTTCACGATTTTTTTGGCTTCTTGGGTTTTAGTTGTTTTTTTCTTCATCTTTGATTTTGATGCATTCTGTGTAAAAGAAAATGAGATTTCTTATGGTTTTTTTTCTAGTCACACAGTATATGCTTTAAACTCTCTTAAAAGCAATTACATGTGTTAGAATTCCTAAAACACATGAGTAAGAGTAATTTCCATTAAAAATTATCTAACAGACCTTTTCGTAAAAGTGTTATAAGCAGGCATATCATGAGGAACTCATTTACTCTGATAACAATTTGGCACAACTTAAATTCTGTCAGCAGCAGGACACCTGGCCCATTCAAATCTCACTAACCTTTTTGGGGCAAGGACACTAACTAGATTCACCAGCGTATGCTGTTAGCAAGCCTCATCAGACAAGAAAACCAGTATAACTGACCGAAGCCATTAGCTACAATCAATCAGATACCGCTTTCATCTCACTTGTCATCATGTTGTCCCCAGGAACCGCAGGACACGAGTTTGAGTGATTTCTGTGTCAGTGAAGGGCACGAGTGGCCATACAAGCACCTTCCTATTTCAAAACTCTTGTCCCCTGCAGTCCCATCAAGATGCAGAACATCAGTGCCAGGAGATGTTCACCAAACTTCACATTAAATAACACTTACAGGCACAAAAGTTGTTAGCATCACAGGAAAAAAGTTGTAGTGAAACAAAGTGGTGAAGACACCAAGGAAACTAATAAATGAGCCAGCAGAGACTGTGAAATCCAGACATTAGCGCTGTTCTCAACAGCCTAAGGTTGTCCTCTCCCGGCTACCACCAAGAAAGCAACACTGACCAGAAAAAAACAAATATTATCAGCAAAACAGTATCCCTGTGTATTGGGTTTGCATGGTAAGGTTTTGGTATGGCGAGGGGCTACAAGGGGTTGCTTCTGTAAGAAGTTGCCAGAAGCTTTCCCTGTGTCCAAAAGAGCTAACACCAGCCGGCTCCAACATGGAGCTGCCACTGGCCAAGGCCGAGCCCATCAGCGATGGTGGTAGCACCTCTGGGATAACATAGTTAAGAAGGGGTAAAAAACCTGCACAATGGCAATTGCAGCTGGAGAGAGGAATGAGAAAATGTGAGAGAACCAACTCCACAGACACCAAGGTCAGCGAAGAAGGAGGGGAACGAGGTGCTCCAGGCACTGGAGCAGAGGTTCTCCTGCAGTCCATGGAGAATACTATGGTTAGGCAGGTTGTTCCCCCGCAGCCCATGGAGGTCCAGGCTGGAGCAGATCTCCACCTGCAGCCCAGGGAGGACCCCACACCAGAGCAGGTGGATTCCCAAAGGAAGCTGTGACCCTGTGGGAAGCCCATGCTGGAGCAGACTCCTGCCAGGATCTGTGGACCCGTGGAGAGAGGAGCCCACGCTGGGGGAGGTTTGCTGTCTTGTGAAGAGCTGCAGCCCGTGGGATGGACTCACATTGGAGAAATTTGTGGAGAACTGTCTCCTGTGAGAGGGACCTCACGCTGGAGCAGGGGCAGTGTGAGGAGTCCTCCCCCTGAGGAGGAAGGAGCAGCAGAGACGACGTGTGATGAACTGACCACAACCCCCATTGCCCGTCCCCCTGTGCCGCTCCAGGGGAGGAAGGAGAGAAACGGAGTGAAGTTGAGCCCGGGAAGAAGGGAGGGGTGGGAGTAGGTGTTTTAAGATTTGGTTTTACCTCTCATTATCCTACTCTGATTTGATTGGTGATAAACTAATTTCCCCACATCGAGTCTTTTTTGCCCGTGACAGTAATTTTCGATCTCTCCCTGTCCTCATCTCGACCCATGAGCCTTTCGTTGTATTTTTTTCTCCCCTGTCCAGTTGAGGAGGGGGACTAACAGAGCAGCTTTGGTGGGCACCCGGTGTCCAGCCAGACAAGAACACACTGACACTGAAGTTACTTTTTGGTTTCTGTGGACGCAACCGTGCTGTTAGAATGAAGAGGTCACTTTTATTTTTCAGAGGCTGAGGATTTATCTAGAGCATTTTCGCATTTTGAAGGTAGTTTGCAACTCTGGGAAGACCATTTTAATTAATTCTATAAAATACAGTGGAATATAAATTGTTGCATCCACAGATGGCCTGCACAGGTTTCACAGAGCCACCCGTCTGCTGGCAACATCATGGAACCAAAGAACGTGGAGATGCCCAACCTCCAGCTCTTCTCCCGAGAGCTCTCCTTTCAAGAACAAAGGCCTTATACGTTCAGGCATCTAACGGGACAAAATACACAGAGGACATTTTAGGCAATAATTGCCATTCTAGAAAGTATTTTATAGCAAAAGATATTTTGCAGGAATAAATGGGGACCCCACAGGAGAAGACCCACGACTCATTCATCACCTTTCAAAGACTGCAAAGCTCCACTACGCAGAAAAAAGTGCCTGTAAAACAGTCACTAAACTGTCTAAACTTCTGATAAATAATAGGAAGTGGTCAAAGCAACCAGAGAGAAAAAGGAAAAACTGCACTTCTTTTTCTCACTTTTCTTTTTTATTATGGTCATTTTAATCAGTTTCATGTTCTACACCAAATCCACTATAAAAGGAAGCAAAAAAAATTAACTCAGAAAGTCACTGTCATTATGGTCAGCACACTAATGCTCTGAAATATGAACTATAAAAGAGAAAAATTACAGTCTTCCTAACTGGAAAAATGGTTTGTGACAGCTACTGCGCTATGTTATCAAGTAATGACCATATCTATTATAGAAAATAGTAACTGTAGCAGCATTTATGTCCTTAGTATTGTCATACAATTATTGTTGCACTGTGCAGCTACTACTACTTAGGCACACCTTTAACAGCTCAGAAAGCCGCGCTATTCCCTCACTCCTGCTGCTTCTCCTACAAACACAAATTGTTTGAGAGTCTGCATAAGCATAAAATCCTTACCTCAAAATATGGGCTACTTAGTGGAACAATAGGAATTGTGCAGAGCAAGAATTTAAAGAGGGATGTACTTCAACGCGGTACAATGATACTTCTCCCTACCACAACATTTTCTTTCACCAGTTGCTTTTAGTTTTATTTCTTTTTTTTTCTAAAAAAAAAAAAAATCTTTCATTTCTGCACTGCCAGTATTACTGGTACCAGCGTAACATGCTAATGTAAAAAAAGAGGTGACTGAAAGTTTCAAATCAGTATATCACAGAATCACAGAATGTTCGGGGTTGGAAGGGACCTCTGTGGGTCATCTAGTCCAACCCCCCTGCCAAAGAAGGGTCACCTACAGCAGGCTGCACAGGACCTTGTCCAGGCGGGTCTTGAATATCTCCAGAGAAGGAGACTCCACAACCTTCCTGGGGAGCCTGTTCTAGGGCTCCGTCACCCTCAGAGGGAAGAAGTTCTTCCTCATGTTCAGATGGAACTTTCTATGCTTCGTTTTGTGCCCATTGCCCCTTGTCCTGTCGCTGGGCACCACTGAAAAGAGCTTGGCCCCATCCTCCTGACACCCACCCTTCAAATATTTATAAGCATTTATTAGGTCCCCTCGCAGCCTTCTCTTCTTCAGGCTGAACAAGCCCAGCTCCCTCAGCCTCTCCTCGTAGGAGAGATGCTCCAGTCCCCTCACCATCCTCGTAGCCCTCTGCTGGACTCTCTCCAGTATATCAGTATTTTGTAAAATTATATTTACATGTGAGTCTCAGCTGCTACATTTCTTTGTTTAAAAAAGGTTTTCCTGGCTAAAGAGCACAAGCCTCCAACAGGCTCCCTTTGCATGCATACACAGGCAATACTTACAGTTGTACCTTATTCCCTCTCCATCCTCTGCCTGATTTTGAGAAGTTAAAGTATTTTGACGCTGCATAGTAGCATGGAAAAAAAATGGGATAGGACAAAATTTCCAAACAAAGAGGAAGAGCAAAAGGAGGAGTAAACAAATGGGAAGCTAAATTCCCTCACTATATAACTAGAACGCATAGTATAAGATCAGTGTGTGAATTTGGCAGATTTACAATATGCAGCATTAGGGAAAGGTAAAAGATCAGAATTTAAAAAAAAACAGAGGAAAGTATTAGAATAAAACTCTACACATCCCATAGATAAATAAACTGTGTTTATTAGGATGCTTTCATTGCTTTACTAAACTGAACATACTCCAAAGATGATGGCTACCATGGCTCCCTCAGCTTCAGACACTGTCTCCTGCCCAGCTGTCACAGCTGAAGACCAGACTAACAGCATTGAGACCAAACGGGCTCAGGTACCAAAACATTTCCATCACAGATGTAGGCACAAGTTTAAGTGGTGCATCCCAGGAGGGAAGCTGGGTGGGTTAGTGCAGCAGTTCTGGACACGCTACGTGGTCCAGGAGAAGAGTCAGGCAGATCAGCCATGGGGTGAACACAGTCCTGGGGCTACCATGGGATCCCCTAAATGCTGCTTTAGTCCTCTCCTGGGGCTCTCTCTCACATTGTTCTGGAGTCCCTATATAGTCCTAAATTCTCTCTCTTCTGTCACCTAAGTTTCTCCCTCCATATGCCACCAGTAGCGTCTTTCAGAGCATCTGCTCCCTACATCTCAAGAGCCTCTCCCCACACCTCTTGCTCCAGTGGCTGCTGCTCTATCTTGAACATACCTGAGCCAGGAGTTCCTCCAACTGCCTACCATCTTGAAACAGGCTGAGTCATTTACACGGCCTCCTCCTCCACCAACTCCACCCCTGTGATCCCCCTCACCCAAATACCTAACGCCCTCACCCTAATTTTGAATGCCACCGCGTGTCTTTGCTTTGACCACATTTGAACAGCTACATTGAAACATCAATTTCCCATCAAGCAGGAGTCTGATTCACCCATTGTAAGAAGCACCAAGGCATAGCAGATCTCAGGCTTTCCTCATCTTCAGTGCCAGCCCCTGGTTCTCTGCGTTTTCAAGTCATTCTGCTTACTCATTTCCCTTTTTCATCTTTTGTACTAGAAGGTACTTGATAATTTACAAGCAGGAGGTTGGCATTTAACTTACACTCTTCATGGCTTCATCTCTTTTCTTCACAACAAGTTCATCACACCAGCAGCCACCACCAGCTGCTGGAGGCTGCCAAAAGATGTC